CCCTGGTCTGGGTCACTCGCAGAACCATCTGAGGCGGTGCCCTCATCAATGCTCGACGGATCACGAAGTAGGGCATGCAAGCGATGAGAGAGGGATCGTCCAGAGCCTCTACGAGGGCCACGACGGTATGCGGAAGACTGTCGAGGCTGGGAGGGGCGAGGGGCTGCAGTAGTAGCGGAATGGGCAGCGACGGGCTGAGGCGAGGGGCCGACGAGTGGAGCGTAAGTGAGATGAATGGCCCTAGCAATGTTGAAAGCCTATGGTAAGGTGGGGATTGAATACGCCATCATCTGCAACTGGAATGGTTGTGGTAGACCTGCGCAGAATCGCTGGATTATGGTGTCCTCGGGTATGGCTGTGACGGGAATCTAAGCGCGTACACGGTGAAATGCTGTGATGTATGACTCTAAGGCATTGTCGCCACCAACCCATCTGATCTCAGCCACACGGGTAATCGGGTCGCAGGTTGGCACAGGGCGAGAAAAGTACTGCTGAAGGAAGTCGCGAAACTCAGGATAAGACATGCCCTCATGTACGCCGCGCTGTGAGCGAAGGGCGAGGAAGTCGCGCCAGGTGGAGACTGCACGACCTGCGAAGCGAGAGGACATCTCGACGGGCCACAGTTCCATGGCGACACCATCGTAGCGAAGCTGCTCCTCAGCAGTAGAGATCCATCCTTGGAGCTCAGAGGCCCTGTCGTCAAACTGTGGGAGGCGATCCGGTCGGTACTGTGGAACATACATCGGCGGCTGATAATGGGTAGGGAGAGGAAGAGCTGACTGTGACAAGAGGACAGAGGACGTAGTGGCACCAGCAAGAGAACTAGAAAGAGCAGGGAGTTCGGGCAAAGGTCCCTGACACATCGTAGTGGCCGGTGGTGATGAAATGCATCGCAGCGGCCTGTGTTTGATGTTGTCGCACGGTGGGGAGGCAGGGGTTGACTTCCTTGGAGTTGGCGGATGTGATCATGGGCCAGGGCGAGCAGGCGTTGGAGCTCAGCATTTTGTGTCCTGGGCGTAGGAGGGGGGGGGGGCCAAAGGAGAGGGGGGTGATGAGGGAGGTGCCGTGGAAACTAACATTGAGGAGGTGGCGGGACAAGATGCCATGGGTCCTGAGGGGGGAGGTGCAAAGGGGGAAACCTGGGATGAAGAGATGGCTGCAGAAGAAGGGTGGGACTGGGGTGAGGA